GGGGGGGGGGGGGGGGGGGGGCAGGGGAGGGGGAAAGTCCATATTTGTTCCATAATTTTCGCTTTCTTCACTGCTTTAATCTATTAAATTCAACAGCTCCACTCACTTCATAATTTCACTTTATGTTTGAAAGGAAATATTAGATATGATTCAAATTACGGCCCTCTGTCAGCTGTATCAAACTTTTGCAGGGCTGTCAGTCTTTTCTTTTTTTTAAATAACTACTTGAGAGCATAGCGGAGGCTGGCATGTTAGTGTCTTAGTAACAAATCGTTTTTGGGGCAAATTGATTGATATAGAAGTTTTTTACTTGCAAGTTTAAATCAGCTGCTCGAGTAAATGTCACCTACCATTCTACTAAGTCTACCAGCCAGTTTATCTCTGGATTAGTATTGCTTGGCTTATATTTCATTGATATTCGATGGATTTTAACATCCCTCATACAAATAAATTCCTGCAGGTAAGTTAACTCATAGTCATCCAGGCAATTCGATACCTCCTCTTCCCTTCGACAGGCTGCTGGAATTGTTTTTCTACTTTCCGGAATTTTGATTATCCTTTCTTTGAATTCGTATATTTAGACATATCAGAAATTCATACGCAGGAAAGCGATAAGACACCATCCGAAGATACACGCGCACGCGCTGATGAATTAGAGGAGTACGAATATCATCACGACAGGAGGATTTCCGTGCTTTTTGTTCTTGTCATCATGATAGGTTAGTTTCTGTCGCAAACCCTGCACCATTTAACCAAAATCAAATATTTTTACTGACTATGGCTTTGGTTTCCAATACGATACTATTTATTGGATCAATTTCACCTGTCAAGAAGACGACGGCAGGAGGCGGAGGACGAAGGAAGTAAATTTAGGAATGAGGTCCCTCTGCGGCGGCCAGTACCAAAGCTTTTCCTAACGGGCATATTTCCCTTTGGAAGGTGAAAAAAACGACAAAAAAGACCTGAAATCCTTTCTACGTTTTCTTTGTATTTTAATCTCTAGCCTAAAATACAAAATCAACGTCGTTCTTTACATCTGGACTTTTCGGAGTCAGCAGGTCGAGACGCCACGATAAATTAGTTTGTGTGTTTTACAAGTGTTTGCGGCAAAATCACGCCTGTGTGTACGCATGCGTTCTGCCTGCATAATTCAGTCCAGTGCTGAAAGCTAGAATACTGAAATTTCCGTAGTATGAGTCCCCATTAATGGGCAGAGTCAAGAATATGAAATTATGTTTTAGGTTGCTTTGTGTCCTTAATACGGCTTCAGATTCAAATCCGGGCTAACTTTTTTAATCAGGAATGAGCAAAGCACGGCTGCGAACTTGATTTGAAATCTTAGTCTAACAAGCAATCCTTAATGACTGGCTTGAATTCAGCCTTCAAAGTTCATTTTATCTCTGAATTTTGGTCTGATTTCCCTAATTCAAGCTAGCTGTATAAATGCAAAAACGAAAATGTCCCAATGACACATGCATCCGCTGCAAGTCGGAAAGAGTTTGCCGCAAAAAAAAGTAACTTAGCCGGCTTACTTTGATAAAGCAAAGCAGGCGAAGTGGAAAAATTCTCGGGAAATTGCAGGTTATACAGCCGGTGGCGCATGCCTTATGCAGCTCTGGGAGAATTGGACTTTCATGGAATCTTTTTATTTTTGCTTCGTCACAGTTACAACTATTGGTTTGTTATCTTCGTTTTCTTCAGAGCTAGTGTCAAAATGCACCACTGAGCATTCATCCCAGTTCGAAACCATTATTCTTAGTGATCATTTGGACGCGCAAATTTCTAATTATAACATTTTATGCTGCTTCCAAAGCACTGTAGCGAAATGCAAAAACCACAGCAAAATATTTGTTCCAAAACTATTTTGTTTCGCATCACAACAGACATATGCCGCAAGATACAGAAAATGACCACTGTCGAAAGCTGAAGAGCGAGCGTTAGACGTGGCGGAGGGAGCGATGGAGCGAAGGATGCTTTTCGTGACCATATAAACAATCATTCTCTCCACCAGATGAACGGCGTACAAGATATCATTGTAGTCAGGCCAGAAATTAAAATCCGTTTATAGTCTTGACATTTCTTTATTTTGCAGGGTTTGGAGATATTGTACCTCAAAATGCAGATTTCTTGCCGGCGACACTTATGTATATCATCGTTGGCCTTATCATCACGACAATGTGCATTGGTTTGCTTCTTTCAATTCAGTGGATAAGGAATATTTATTTGTTTTGAACACATTTCAATCCGGCAGTTCATGCTTATTTACTGATACCAAAAGCCCGTTTTTAGCGATTGGATGATTTATAACTGCGAGAATTCAGCGCCATGTGCTACATCCCTAACTGATAGGCAGGGTGGTACTACTCTGGTCAACCATAAACTCGAGTGGACGCAGTGAATTTACCAGTGACTAAGGCTCTCTTTGGAAAATTCATTTTTCTGAATTTCATAACTTTGCAGATTTGGTGGGCAGTGAGTATATTCGCGACATCCACTTCTATGGACGAAGTCTAGGGCGCAGTTTCATGACAATTGGCGGTAAAGTCGTCCACCTTGGGGAGGTTTGTTAATATTTTATTCAGCAACTGTGCCTTTATTTTTATTCGTTTTTTGTGTTTCCGCAACTGGTACGAGCATGCCTGCTATAGTTAAAAACTCTCGATAGCTCCCTCTCCTCCTCTTCTAGGATTGCTCAGAAGCAAGTTAATGGCAGATTTGTTCCCTGCTCCGGAAAGGCTAAGTTGATCAGAACACTAACAAAAAAGATCCCCTAAATTCAGTCATGTGGTACGACAGAAAACGACCTATGATTTACCTGTTTTGGTAAGAGGCTCGGGGTCGAAATGTAAACTAGCTATCTGGGTAGCTGGCATGCTCGACTGCTTCTGCGCCCCAGAAAGCGAGTTACGAAGAGGTTCATTTCATTCCATTTAATTTTATATATTAAAACATTTCCAGGTATTTGGTTATGTTGCTTTTCTACAAAAGAATTATGGCCTTACTCCGGAGCAAATCAACAAATTGGCGCAATTACCGGAGGAATATTTGCTCGAATGTTTAATAAATGGAAGACAGCCTGATTTGAACCGGATTGGTAACTGCTTACTCTAATAATACTTGCATCACAGTGCCTAACTCTTTTGTTACTGGTGTAAGTAAAGTTATTCTAGTGCAGATTTCTCCCAGATTACTCGGTGGAATAAGCGCCCTATTTCCAATATTTTCCCGACTGATCGTTTTCCTTGTTTCGTATCTAAAAGCACAAAATAAGGCGCGAAATTTGTTGCTCTAGTTATTAGCGAGGATTTGTGATAGTGACTGGTAGAGATCTGCTGCTTTGTACTGGAGCTAATTAAAATCCCATGAGGAGCACGTCCATTAGGCAAACTAAGGCTCAACTGCTTCTGGTGCGTAAGTGCAACAATAACCTGAAGGACCCCAATTTGCTGTTACAGGAGGGTGGCCATATGTGCCACCTGATATCTACTACTTCAAATGGATCGAGCATCCACGAACGCTGTCATTTGTCTCGGAACGTGTGCTAGCCAGTATGGAATCGCTGGATCTGAACACGAGCAAGTGCAGCACAGCGAGGACGTTAACGCCACGCGAATATTACCAAAGAATATTGCTGCAGTACTGCAAACAAATGCAGCCCGATGACCACATACCGTCGCCTCCTGGCAGCAATGTGGAGCGCAGCAAAGTCTGATCAAGTTGGGGACCGAGCAACAGTTCAGCTTAATGCGCACCTACGCACGTTCATGCGGTCAAGAAACTGTGGCCCGGCTTGAATCGCCAGTAACCCCTATAATACCGGCATTATGATTGGATCACAAAAATCGGCTACTTGGACAACGTACCGATAGAAGTGCTATCTGCTGGCTGCAGCCAGAGTGATTTTTTGAACGCACTGATATCTTTCCAATTACGCCTCGGATAGTACGGGGCGTAAGTGGGAAGATATCGATGCTCAAACAGCAGTTACCGTGCTCAAATAGCAATTTGTACTACCATACATTTCGCAGTTAGTGGGCTATGTATTTCTGGAAGCAACGAATTATACTGCCTTCTGTAGCTTTCTTGCGTCTTTTGAAAATAACATGATACTCTTTGAGGCAGCGTAGTTGCCTTGAGTTAACTAACACTGCAATTAATTAAGACAGTAATTTCTAAAATCAACGTCATTTTGTTTTCGGGCAAAAGTAGACGGCCATACAAGTAGATACAATGATGAGTTTTAAAAAAAATCGTATTGAACATTAGATCTTGAACTTTCCAGCCCGTTTCTTTTCGAAATTATCTAAAATGAGACATTTATTCTGCACCTCTACCGCGGGAATAGGCAGAAAATGGTCGGTTTTAGCTCGAAACAGCTTGAAAATTGAACTCTCTATTTCTTGTGGTGTTCTGCTCTTAGATAAGGGTAAAATTGGCCAACGTTCAATGCTCAAGGATGGGAAGCTTGAGGAGTCAGTTTTGTTTTTTTTTTTGTCTAAAATTAAGTGATTTTCAAGGCGTGAAAATTTTGGATTTCTGCCTCTTGCATTTTGGGATGAAATGATTGACCCGACGTCCCCGTATTTCGTCCTCTGCGAGAACTAGAAGCACTTTGATAACAGGCTTGCTTATTGGTAAAGTTGTTCTTAACTTAATTTATGCGATTTATTTGCAAGCAGTTTAAAAACCGTTGAATTCACTACGATGCTAAAACCGCTAATGCCAATTTGTTTACAACATGAGTCAGCGAAATGCAGATTAGCTGATTTTCGTGTTGGTAGCTTTAAATTAACGGCTTGAATCTAAGAGTAGGTGCCATTTATCTCGTTCATGTCGAGCTTGCTCATGCCAATTACAGTGCTAGGTGCGCGCCAGTGCGATTTTCATCTTTTCATAATTGTGGCATGGCCAGCAATGAAACGGCCTCTTTCTTGCTTTTTTTGAAAAAAATCATCACATTGGCATCAAGAAATGTTCAAATTGAATCACTGGGCGCAAAACAAGGCTTAAAGAGCGCAATAAGTGGTTAAAAAGGCGAACAATTATCGAAAGAATAAAATTTACTAACGATCCAAAGAAATTTTGCTGGAACTGATCAATTTTTAGACAAGCTTCTAAAAAAATGTCTGAGGATAGATCCATAAATAAAAAATGGCAACAAAGTGGCTCCATGAACGCTGAATTTGACGTTGATAGACTACAGGAAACCAAATTTAAGCAGCTGGTCCGGATCGAAAAGGAGCTGAATTCTAAATAGGAAGGAAGCTATTTTGGACGGAATGCGTTGTTTTAAGCATATGTATGTAAGTGTGGTAAGATTTAGTCAAGTCGTCAAAAATTTTCTTAAATCAGTAGCTTTTTTTGGGAATCTCTAAGTGAACAACTGGATATCCTTGGCGAGCTTACTAGGGCATCTGGTTCTTGCTGCTACTGAAGTCTGCAGTGTAGCCTCTTATTTCAAAGGACTTTTCCACAGACTTACTTGAACAGTGCACAAATGTTGGACTGAAATCGGGCTTCTCTTTATAGCAAATCTTGGAAGTTTTTTTTTCACAGTCCCACATAGTAAATAAGTTCAGGAAAAACATTCTTATCCATCTTTTCGTCCTTGTTTTTTGGGATTTCTGTGATTTCTGACTGGAATTTTAATCCTACAGAAGTTTCTGAAAAAGTAGTTACTACAGAAATTTGAGTAAACGCTCTTATTCTCTCTTTGAGCATTAATCTTGTTCAAGTTCGTGCATAATTTTCTCAGTTTCAAATTCGTTTCTCCACTCAGTTTGTTGTTTTTTCAGAAGTTAATACTTGCCAGCTCATTTTGGCGCTTTTCAACTTTTCTGTGTTTTAAAAGAATAAGCAATTTAGTTCTCTTTTTCCAATAAATCGCATCGAAAATGATGGTACGAGCCACTTGTGCCATTCGAGAGAAATCTGAGGAACTTCAAAAACCACTACCATATAGTACTGGAAACGTTCGGGTTTTGATGAACAACATGTATAGATGAACCAAATACTGCCTGTTTGGCTTTACAGCAGTGCATTTAGAGTGTTTTGGAAGACATGGTGAATTTGTTCTACATGCTAATAATATTTCGCCTGGTTCCTGTCTCCTGTAATTCTATGTTTTTTTGTTTTGGATGAAATATTATGTTGTGTGATTATTTTTGCAAACATACTGTTGTTATGCGCAAACGAATGTTCCATAGTGCAACTGCCGAAGTAAAAACTGCCTCAGTTTTTGAACAGAATCATAACACACAAAGAGCAGAGAGAAACTTGTTCGTTCTTTGATTTAGCGTCCGCGAATCGTCGGCTTATCCATGATTTAAGGAGAGTACCAGTTCTTGTTCCTGCAATCTGGAAGGAAACACTGGATTGAAGCGGAGATTCGGGTTTAGAAATCTGATTAAGCTGGAGAGGGAAAAAGATGCGAACAGTGCGCTAGAGAGTGATTAATACAGATGAACAGCGTTTAGTTTAGCCGAAAAAATTAAAAAATGTCTCTGTCTTGCCAAGAAAAGCGGTCACTGAAAGGCCAGACCTAACTGGCCTCTGTCCCCAACCTCTTTCAAAAGCATTGTGTCAAATGCTCCATTCCAAAAGTGCTTAATCGCTACACTTATTAATTTCAAGTTGGATCAATTTCAATGTGCTTTTTAAAAATTTACCCAGAATATGAGTCACTATCGGAATCGGTGACCACTTTCAACATTAGTATTGCTTGCAGTTCAAACTCGAAAATGGACACGAGTGACCGCACCTCTCACATTGGGCAGGTGCATCGGCAAGTTAGCAGAGGGAGGTGTGAGGTAGGAAATTAGAGTTTCCAGGAAACGTCGCACGCATAGGTCTGGCAGCATGCTGATACAATATTAATTTACGCTCTGGAATACAAGCAAAGCCGAGGTAAATGAGAAAATATTTTCCTGTGGCTACATAGTAAACAAACTGGAATTATCGATATCTAACAGAGCTGTGGGTGGAGAGCGCCGAAGAATCACAGATCAGGCTTCCATAGTGATACCTCATTTTGGAGTAGTTACTCCTCGCAACCAGTAGTTTTGTAGTTTATTTGGCGAAACAATTTGCTACTTTTTTTTCTCACCACGAATTAACCAGCATTTTTCCAGCACCTCTCTTAAGCAAAAGGAGAAACTCTCGAAGTCATAACCAAAATTCGCTTTTTAAAATCTGGCCTTTAATGTGCATAGAATCGTTTTGCTCTTTCTCATAAATGGGCTGCAAAATTGCTGCTTTCACTAGAATAGCAAAAAAAAAAAAATTAAAAAGAGAAAGCTGGATTTTTCTAGGAAAACTAGCGGTTGACCGACTGGCAAATTATGCATACGGGGATTTCAGGACAAAATCTCAGCTAATTACAATTTTAAATTTTTGCAAGAAAACCCCTAGTCCCACTTAGAGGAGATAAGATGAATTATCATTCTTTTTTATTTTGACGAAAAAGAGCGCTGACTTGTGGAAAATCGAAAATCCGACTCTGCCAGTCGGCCCAATAATTTTGGGTCAAACGCTGCGTCCTTTAGGAATTTCAAAAACAAAAGAGCTGTTCATTAGCAGCCAGTGCATTTGGAACCGCAACGTAAGGTAATTACGACTTCGGCATCAGTACTCCTGAAATCCAGGCTGATTTATCAACAAAAGGCTTAGCACTATATCCACGCACTCATGTCGCTCCGGTTGCTAAATTCGGCTGCTGGGAGCGGCTCTGCAACGAAAATCTCAGCGCAATTCTAGCCCTTAAGTGAGAAATAATAAATTTTTGGAACTCTTAAAACCACAGGATCTTAAGGTAATTACAAATCCTTCGACTGCGAATTTCCGCTTAATTGGCCAGCAACTACTGCTAAATATGAATCCGCCTGGTCAATTTTTTCGTTTCAAATTTAAAATATAAAATTTTACAGGTATATTGAATGCGACTATTTTGCATTATCATTGCGTCTTGTACAGCATTCACGATTTCCACTGCTCTGAAATGTTATGCTGTATGTTTTTCTTGCACATTCTTAAGCTCATGCAAAAAATAACTTTCTGTAAAATTCCAGCTTTTGCGTCACTGCTGTGGACTGAAATATTTGGTAATTTTCAGAAAAAGCGTAGTGAAAAAGTTTTTATTTAGCAACTGACACGCTGCTGACAAAACTTTCTGACCGTAAATGGAACGGCGAGTGGAACTACTGAAATACTAACAACATATGCTAAAAAAGCAAAAGTTCTAAGGCATTTTCTTTAATGCTTCTAACTATTAGTCTAATTAGATACGTGATGTTATCAGTTTATTGCTTTCTTGATTTCTAAGTTGTCACCCAAGTCGGAATTGAAGCCCATAGACAAATACACACTGGAAAATCCATTTAAGGTATGCGCCTCTCATATGCTAAGATCTTAAAGTTTAGGCTTCCAGTTTTTTCAGTTCTATAGCTGAATTATTTGAGCAAGCTTCATATAAAAAACTCGAAATACGAAAAAACAGCCACATAAAACGACAAGTAATCCTACAGCATAAACACCTTAACGGTTACTGCTGTGGATACAGCACCACTTCCGCTTAAAGCTGCATTTCTCTTGATTTACAAGCCTGTTCGCTACTGCAACTCCAACCTGCAGCTCATAATAGCTGTAATATATAAGCTGACAGAACGAGTCTCAAGAAAACATGGCTACAAGACCTTGACGTAAGCCGCCAGTTACTTCCGGCAGGTTATTCAGCTGCCTTGGATATTAGGCTTCGCTGATTAACTTATCGCAGTGCAACGCATACAGACTGTTCCATGTGAATTTCACTCCTGTGGTTATAGTCCGAGTAAACGCTGACTTGACCAGTTCTGGGCACCAGCACAACAATTTTGATTTCCTGGAGTGTGATGACCCCTGGACAACGGGTGGGGATATTCTGTGTTAGTAATTCTTTGCTGAAGAACGCAATCTGGAGAGTAAGTAACCGGTGTTTGTTTACCAATTAAACCGAGACAGACAGATGGGTCTGAACGTGACAGGTCGCGAAAAACAAGCTATGCGTTAGCCCCTGTGGTACCACTCGAGAAATAATGTTACTGGTGTGCTCTTGCACTCCCGGGCTGTGTACTTTCAGTTAGTACTCCCCGCCTATTCGATGTATGTGTGCAACCTCTTCGGGAGCCATTCGTTTATTGTCGCTTTTAATTACTTTCTTTAAAAAAAGTGATTGCTAAATGTACTCGATGGTGCTCAAATGCAGTAACTGCAGGGCGGCCCAGCAACGAATAATGGTAGCGCTGTCGTGCCACTGCAGGAATGCCATCCGACTGCATATTCGTGCATGAAAACCGTGGACCTCACTACGAATATGGCGTCCTACTACTGCTCATCGACAAACTGCACTACTAGGGTGCTCCTCATATTGCCTCTTTATTGTGCTTCAAAAAACACCAGTCTCGCTTTCCCTCCTTATAGGCATGCCCGTGCGCATTTCAAAACTTTTTACGGTTTTTGCCTTCATAATTATCTATAGTGCTCTCTCTCTTACGAGAGTGACCGATGGTCACACATAGAGTAATTTTCTGTTAGCAAAGCTATTTTTTTAGCATTACTCAGAAAACGATTCTAGTGCATAGAGGAGATAATTCCCAGCCTTCGGACATTCTTTGTAAATCGCAAACTGCCCCGAATTACTTGTTCCTGAAACTCTTTTTTAGCAGATGTGATGGTCGATGTTCTCAAATCTGTGTTGCATTTTGTATAAATGTTCATGGCAGTGAGCTGCCAGAAGAAGTTTAGGTTGCTAGGGTGTAACGTAGCGGCAATAAGCACATTACTGAATGGAGTCAAATTTTCAACGAATTCTATAAAAGTATGTTGCAGACTGGTGAAATAAGCGATGTGGCGGTATGTTACAATACAACCAACGATCTTCAGATGAACTGCTGCTGCTACACAGATGGTTGCAATTCGTCCGGTGGCACAGCACCAGCGCTCCGCCGCTTCTCGTCTTTGGAAGTTGCTGGGATGATTCTCATTTTTTTCTTTCTTGTTTCATTTTAATTATACTGAAGATGAAAAAAGAAGGAATGTAATGCCCTGTTTGTGCTGGTTTAGTTTTCATGTTCGCAATGTAGTGCAGTGCCCAAATCATGCCCTCAGCTCAACGCAGCATTTGATATGCCTTCCTGTTACGTGATACAGATATCGTGGCTAGTGAATGACAGAACATCTTTTTGAAAGACCAGATTTCGCAAAAATGTTTCATGAAAAATGTGGCATTTTGAAAAAAAAATCAGCACTACTTGAGTTTTAAGACTGAAACTAACAGCTGCTGGTTCATAACAGCATTTGACATATAAGCAGTGATCGAGAGGAAAGCCATAATTTGTTCCAAAATGTCAGCTTTTTATTTTTCAAATTCAGTATCATTCAGTAATGTATTGATCCGTGCATTCATTTTTCAATAAAAACTATAAAAACACAAAGTAAAACTGTAAAAACATTAATGTAACATTTGCAAGATTGTCCAATCAGCCGGCCCAAATATTTGGTATTAGTGAAATGTTCCCACACGCTGTTCCAGGATCTTCTGTTAAGAGTCATCTTCCCGGCTAGTAGGAGCCAGTTGTGCTAAGAGATCGTACGGACAGCTGCTTCCTGTCTGCGCAGTGGTAAACGAATTCGCTCATCTGATCAATGGGCTCTCAGGATAATTAAAAAAGATAGAACGCGGTTCACTTCCTACTGGATAATATATCGGGAATAGCACGGCAAGAACAAAGAACTAACTGACATTATGTCCCCTTTAAAAAATGCATACACCCTTGGATATCCACTTATTCGCTATGTTCATCTGAACTTATCCCCCAGCGGCTGCAGCACAGGCGACGATGAATATCGTGAGGTTTTCATCACAGTGTTGGAAGGATGTGAAGTGATACGGAGGGAAATGGCCAATTTTGATACTACCAGCAATTGTGCGCTGTCGGCTTCACCTACTCTTCCGTATTTCACGCCATCTTTCCTCTCCTTCCGCCCTGTCTCCTATTCATTCCGTTCCTCCCTCCCTTCCTCCTCTTTTCAAAGAAGGCGGGGGGAGGAAGTAGGATGGAAAAGTTGATGTTGTCCCTCTGGTCAAATTTTGCGTTTGGCTGGAACACGGTTCTAGAAAAGTTTGGTACCACTCGACCAGTCAGGAACACATGGGACAGAAAGAGAGGGCAAGCACATAACCGTTCCTTCCCCTTCCTGCCTCACATACACAAACACTATAAGTGACGAATAACAAGCGCATCAACAATTTCGTCTTTTTGGATGACGGGCTTAGTATCGGATCGCGCTGGTAACTTCAGCAGTAAATTTGCATTTCGAACGGACAGTAATCGTGAGCTCATCTGATTCTTCTCCAAACAAATTGCCCGAGGAAGATTTCCAGGATCAGGTTGCAGCCATGCCCGTCGATATTCGGGTCGATTATCTAGCTGTAGAGTTTCACAAATCTGCAAGTTAGAATAAATGCGCTAACAAGTACTCACACTGTCACTGTGGCAGCCGCAGGTTCAAGCAGCTAGCATTAAAACTGAAGAAAAAATTAGGGGGAAGGTAGTTAAGCAAGCAACAGACTAGCTTTGCTCGGAACAGTCTTGACTTCATTAGCAGTGCCTGCCTAGGCATTTTAATCGTTTTGCCTTGTTTGGATGCACTTTTCCACTTCTGTTGCACTTATGGAAATGCAAAAACTGATATTGACAAGACTCCACAGATGGATGTGTATATGTATTCTGCTTTTGTGTATTGTGCGTTAGTTTAATTCGGCTTTAATTACACAGGTTTACAAGTGTCAACTGTCAATAAGCGCTCGTCAAACCAAACCTTGCCTCTTATGTAGTCGTCAACGTCGTGAAGCCATTGCTCACATGTAATTTTTATGCGTTTTGTGCTGTGTAACAGCAGTACAAAACGCATATTGTTACGGGGTCGTCTGT